CTCTGCGCCTCTGGTCCGTCAACTCCCAACGGCCCCGGCGGCTTCAACCGTCGACCCTACCTTTCGCGACTGATTTCTTCGAGGACACCTGCATCTGCACCAGCACTCTCACACAGCAACAGCGCCTAGGCTACCAAGCATTTTTTATGGCGCCTCATCACACGATCTCGAGCAAGATCGGCTGTATCATACATCACAACAACTAATTTCTCTTCTTGCCCTCGGGCTTAATCTCGAACATCTTTCGTCGTCATCGCGTTACAGTCAGCTTCTTCCTCGACGACTGGAAATTCGCAGCGAGCGTCAGGGTTAGCACGCGGGTGGTTTGAAGTCTTGTAACATTGTATTGCGATGTACTCGTTCATTTTTTGGCTGTTTTTTCCGCTCAGGTCCTCGCGTTATTCGGTCTTTTCATCACGTTTGCAGAGGCCCAGCCCCTGTTTTCGACTGGGACACAATTTCTTCTTCAAGGATAGGACGAGTTGGGCCAAGATGCCCCTGGGAAATGCAATTTTTCCTTCACAAAAGTATCAAATGGCGCGCGCATGGACTTTGCATGGTTGGTTGGAGCCCTCGAGGAGACGGTTGGGCTGGGAAGAAGGTGGTATGAGCCTGGGTAATGGGTTTTCCGGCGAGATGGTTCATATACAACGGCGTTTGGGTCATTTCACGGGTCTGGCTTAACTGGGAATCGGCGTATATGGGAACTGGAGGTTCGGGCAGTTGGCGTTTGCCTGGTTGGGGAAAAGGCATGGAGTTGTACCCATATTTTCCCTCGTGCTCCTGGAGGCGTTCGATGATTTCCTTGTCATTTTTTTTCCGGCTGGGCTTGGAGGGAATGAGTGTATGCGGCTGCGTTTTCGGCGTTGGCTCGGTGCTGGGGTCACGGTGGTATTGCGCAGAGAGTCGACTTGCGCTCACGGCGGTGGTGGGATGGTGTTCTCACACGCCCATCAAGGACAACGGACTGTTTACAGGCTCACGATAGTCTGGGGGATCATGTTGAGTCCCAGCAGATTTGGAATTGGAAGGGAACAGGTCGGCAGCGCTCGGATTTGCAACGGCCATCTTAGCCCTTGTCCGGCGGACTGGTTGGTTGTATTTTCACAGCGACTCTGGCATATCTTTGGTGTTTGGCAGAGACTCTATCTCTTGTCAAAGCAATTTTGGAACAAGTCATCACCTCTCTTCGGCGATCTTCTTGGTATCTGGGAGATCATGATCAGCCATCGACAACAAATACGATTGAGGAGGGTTTGGAGGACTTGACAAAAAACAACACAGAAAACAGGAAAAGATATTTTTTTTGGGGAGCTCTGGGAGGATTTGATGGGTTTTCTGACTGAGCGGGTTTTTTTTCGAAAGATTTAAGCTTGGGCTTGGTGAACCGGTTGAGGCCTCTTGGGACAAGTTACATAGACAATTGATGTTGTTTATCTCCTCACTTTTTGGTGTCCTGTGCGGCTTGATACTGAATTTGCATGATGAGTGGACTGGGCCGACGTCGGCCTGCAGTGCTCTGGTCCCTCGGTATGACTTCAATCCCATCCGGTCCATAATTTGCTCATGATGCAATATGTCCTGATCCCTCTCTCTTTGTGCCGCGTGGCCTCAGCTCGTGACGTGAGATTTCCCCCTCCCCTCTTCACCGTCTTCAAGACAAACACACTATATACAACCGTGCCGCTCGTCGTCAACCCAGTCTCTCCTGCAGTTATAGAGAACAAGAACACGACAGCGACATAGAACACGTGCCCAACTCAGATCGCCATGGCTACCACAACCATGAACTGGCTGTATGAACGGCTGTTCCCCCCCGAATCCATGCGGCGTGGCATATTCGAGATTGTCGCTGGAGTGTGGTCAATTAAGCTTATTTCACCCCCTCTCCTCTCTCCCCTCCCCTCTCTCCCCTCCCCTTCCGCAAGGCTTCCTTCTCTTTGATGG